CGGACACTTGCGTCCCGTCATCTGACGTAATCCGTGGGCCCATCTCCCCTCTGCCAGATTTAATGAAACGCTGTAGCAGAGAACACCTCCAGACTACACTACGAATGTTCTACTTCAACTCCTGGTGACCAATTTTTCCTTCATCAGCCATTGTGATCAGCAAGTAACAGGAAGCCCTATGGGCTCATCAGTATAGATATTTTCTGTCGGAATCTATAACGCAGATACCGGAAGCTACGATTATCCGCGTAAGTAAATCAAAATTGTGTCTGAACTTGTTACCTCCAGAAAGGGTCACTTAGAAAGGCGTAACAATGATTTCACCTCCCTTTTCCCAGAAAGCTAACCGGCGGTTGACGGAAAATGTCCATTCGTAGGGGTCCTTGTGATTCAAAGGGCCCTTGAGTCACTACCAGTGTCGGTATACCGCTAGGTCGTATACCCATATCACATCATGAAAGTGATAATTCCGATACCCACAAGTCGAACCTCGGTAGCCACCTACTAAAGCAAGCCAAAGTGCTCTGTTCGAGTGAATAAATGTATCGAACAAAAGAAAAAGTGCTTTTCAAGTAACCCTTTCAAGACGTCTTTGTATGAGACATCACGAGTTCAATGGCGAACTCATCCCCTCGTTAGAAGGAAGGACGGCCGAGGAAACACAGTGTACAGGTAACGCCTGTGCAGGTCCGATGAGAATTTATCGAAAGCACAAGTAAACTTACCAAATACTCTTCCGAATGCATTATTCACCCAGCTTGTATACCTTACGGACTGGGTTGGCAGGCTGGATAGCAGAGGGGTCATCAATAAAATCCAATGTGCCAGTTGTGGTACAGTCTACAGTGGTTAAACGGGGAATGTCTCATTACTCTCATACATAAACACCAGCTGCTGGTGGGAAGACGGGACGCCTTAGCCCAGGTAGCCATTCACACTGAACCTCATTAAGTTAGAAATACAGAGGAATCGCTGTGAGCACAGTGTTTTGGCTAAAAGTAACTATCCTAAGGCAAAATGTGAAATGCTGTTGGCCGAAAATTTCGTGTCGGGGTACATAATGCACGTTCGCATGAAGAACTGAGTAAATAGACTTCCAGCGCTATGGTGTGGGCATGGCCGCCCAGTCATCCTCGTCTTTATGACCCCTGTTGGGGTGTTGTTGTTGTTGGTCGTGGTGGTGCTGGTGATGAAAAGGCCTGGTCAAGAGTATTTTGTGGACCAGGGGGTGTTGGATGGAAAACTAAGGTGCGGGCCTGATTGTGCCATCCACCTAGCCCCTTCGCCGCCTCCGGGCTTTTGATTCTCTCTTGACACCTGGTCCAGATGGGGGAGGTACGAGTGCAGTAGATACTGTGCAAGTCTACGTCTACTATAAAATAAATCGTCCCTGTTCTCACCCTGCTGTTGATCACAAGGTAAACATCGTCGGCAACGACGGTCGGACATGAAGGCTGTAAGATTTTCGAGGCCATCATGCCAGAATCAAAAGAGTTACGTTTTGTAAGTTACTTTTAGCAGCAAGATCTCAAAGAGCTGGCCTCGCTATTTTTGTTTCTTTCATAGCCCGTCAGTTAACGGGGGATGGGGACAGACCTAGTGACTGCGATGCGAATACCGTCGAAACTTACCGCAGTATCGGCGCATGCTAACAGCTATCATCGACTTTGCAGCAAGTTCAAACATAACGCACTCGGCCACAAAGAGATCAAGTTTTCACAATCGGGTATGCACCTCGGAGACGAGCAGGCCATGAATCCTGTCGCTAGAGTTTTTGGTGACGGAATGCCTACGGCAAGGACGCCGAGGGAAGAAGGTAAACGAGGGCTTCCAATTGGCTTAGCAGGTTGCTGGCTAAATCGCAGATGGTCATAATCCGGATGCGGAGGTTGATGAAATTACTGGACTAACATTTCACTAGCAGTTATCAGCGGGAGTGGCTCACACGAGGGTAGCAAATTTTCGGGAATTAAGGGCCAGGTATACAAAAACTAACCGCTCATGTCTGGCATATTCACATCCGTTGGTCATCCGTCAGTTCTCGCCCAAAGTCTCCGCTATAGCTTGTAAACAAAACGGAAGGTTAAAGTGTTGTTTTCATCCACGTGAACAGCACCGGAGCCAAAGCGCACGGACACTGCCAAGGAGTTCGCCTGCGAGCACATTAACAAACGCACTGGTGTGTTTATCAATAAAGACGGCGGTGGCTGGTGATACTCCATTTGTTCCAGAAAACAGACGCTCTTTCGAAGTAACCACTTGATGTCGCTGTTAGGCTGTTGCTGCCCTCAAAACATTTGCCAGCCAGCCAGCTATTTAGCGGGGTTCCATGATCACATCTGACCTATTTGGCTTCCGTCTAACGTCTGAGGTTAGGATTAGGGTACTGGTTAATTGCTCCCGATTTTCAGGTTAGTGTTATGCCTCTGGGCTCAGGTTTCCAGGTTACGGTCAGGGTTTGAGCGTGCCATTAGGTTTCGGTATTACAGTTAGGTTTTTCAGATACGGCTGTGTCTAAGTGCTACGGTGACTTTTACGATTTCGGTTAGGGTTAGGGTTGCCGTTAGGGTTAACGGTTAACGTTCAAGGTTGAGGTTAATGTTAGGATTAAGTGTAAGGTCGCCGTACGCTTCTCCATTCCTGGCTACCAACTGCGATCTAGCCCAGCTTTCAAGTAAGCCACGCGCATCTGTGTGTATGCCACAGTCTGCAAGTTATTTTAATCTGCAAACAGAATATGTCAATTACGCTCTGTCTACGTGCCTTTATCAATAAATCACGCCGGCCGTCATATAGGGGCGATCATCCAATAAAAAGCCCACCTCTATACCACTTTGCAGCCTGGACACCAATTTCCCGTGACCTTGAAAACTGTTGGATGAGGAGAGCAAGTAGGTCAGAAATGGCCATCCCAGTCCCATTAGATTTCTTAGTAAACACTTCCCCACCACTGATCCTCGGCGGCCATGTGACCGGACCCCCAAGCGTATCCACAGTCCCCGCAGCTAAACCACCATGCAATCAGAACTGGACTTCACAACAATTGGCGAAATACGCAGTCCTGACCAAGCATTTCCTTGAGAACTGCATCTGATAACGAACAGCGACAAGTAAAACATAATTTGAAAGTGGAAATTCAACACAAACGATCTCATGAACGCGGCTGCTTTTAAATTCGCCCTCGGCGAGGTTAAGAATTGGCGTAAATATTTCCTTCAATCGAGGAAGTTGAGATAACAAGTCCATACTGTGGAAACTGCACTTACTTAATCACATGCTTGACCGAACAGAAGGAAACGATTGAAGGGAGTCCAGACTCCGAAAACCAGAATTCCAATGATGGACCATGAAAAAGTGCGGAGCGGCTAGCGGCTACTTGTCGCGATCAAGTAGCATGGCGTAGAAGAGGTTCTGACAAAACACATCAACTTAAAGGTTGACAAAAAGTCTATAGCGGAATTAACGAGGATCAGTATGAAAGCCTCATTTCGGCAACAGGCGTCTCTGGCACAGCACAGCAAAGCAAATGAAACCATGAATTGGTGCAAAAACAGAACATTAAAGATGAAACTGATTGCTTATCAACTGTTCAGCTACCGCCGAATGACAAAAGTCGACGACGACAGCAAAACTGAGGAACAGTTGTACCATGAGAAGCAAATAATTTTCCGAAATCAAGGTTAACGAGGTGGCATATTTGTTTACACAAAACCCCAGTTTGAAAATCCGAATGCTGAGAAATGACACCACAATCACGCCACGCATCACCCCAGATAAAAGCAAAACCTCTCATTGGTTCTGATCTATCCTGTCGATGAGGCACACTACGTGAACCAAAGTCCAGTAAGCACTGCGGTCCGTTGACTAGATGTCAGACCACCGCTATCTGACCAGTTCTCAGACTCGTTTGCCCTCAACATTGAAAAGCAACCATGTACCCTCGAAGGCGGCACAATGGCCGCTCTCTAGCAGTCTGCGCATGGGGACACATGTCACTGCGCTTAAATACCACTCAGTGCGCATGTACTTGAATTAAGAGAGGTTTGCTTAGCATATCAGTGTCGGCAGTCGGAAGAGCCTAAAGATTTATGCGATGCGTCACCGATCTTGTGTCTGTGTGTGATGGACGGCAAAAAGGTTTGTCGGCATTTTCTATGCCGGCATCAGCAAACCATGGTCATCGCAGCCTGGTATGCGTTTGCAGCTCTCAGACACCTGGTTTCTAGCCCGTATATGCACTTGCGCTCCCGCTGGCTACATGGGTCCTGGGCATGTCTGCCCAGCAATCCTCGACGTCCTGGCACCTATTGGGGTGTTGGTCTTTTTGTTGGCGAAAAATCCTGGTCATTTGCCGTGTGGACCAGGTGAAATGCCTAGGTTCGGCTTTGGCTGTGCCAACCACCTGCGCTCTCCTCCAACTCCGGTCTTCCTGAATCCTTATTGGCAGCGTGTGCAGGTGGGAAATGGGAAAGAGAGAGACAGCGGTAGATGCTTCGCAAACCAACTATCACTATAAACTAATTTACGCGCAAGTTACCGTCCCAGCTCTCATCTAGCAGTGGAGCACAAAATGGACATCGTCAAGCTCGTTGGTCTAACTATCGTGCGTGATGAACGATCAGAGACGGGGGGGGGGTTAACAAGTTGCAGGTCCTACTTACGTGCCGCTGATTAAGGCAGATTTCGACTGAACCTGGCACGCGCCCAATAGCCTCGTAGAGGATTTTGGTGTTAATCAATTAGAAGAAAAACTCCAGTTTTCTGCCATGATATTCTACCACTGTTCTATTCAAACAGTCATCGTGTCTTAATCCAAGACCGTCTTCCGTTTCCTAGGCATTTCCCAGATATGTCATCTTCACAGACTTTTCATGCACTTGATCGTCTGATTTGCCCTAACCCTCTATTTCTTCTTCCTCCATCAGGTCCCGCCCAATTTGATGCCTGCCTCTCACTCATCATCTTTTTCACTCCCCCAACTTAAGTCACCCCTTCAGATCATGCAATTTCAACGTCACTACTACTACTTCTACTACTACTACTACTACTACTACTACTACTACTACTACTACTACTACTACTACTACTACTACTACTACTACTACTACTACTACTACTTCTACTACTACTACTACTACTACTACTACTACTACTACTACTACTACTACTACTACTACTACTACTACTACTACTACTACCACCAGCACCACCACCGCGAACTCCTTATCCCACACTTGTTAAATTCATACTTTCCTTCCGCCTCTCCAACTTCATCACATCACATTACTTTGACTTCTACTCCGATCCCACATTCTTATCCTCCTGCTCATCGACTGCGCGTAACTCATCCTCCGCCTCCAATTATTTCACCGCCTCCACTCTCACCTCGACTTCCTTCAACATCCTATCCTCCTGTCCCTGCAACTTCGCCTGTATCTCCTCCCCTCACCCTTCCACTACTACGCACAGCCCACAAAAAAGTTCCACTCTAGTTCGTCGTCGCGTCTACCACGTCCAACCACTGCCTTCATTCGGCATCCTCTCCGGGTCACACAATTTTCCATCCGTCCCTTACAAGGAAACACCAGCTAGCAGATCACGCTCGTTCTCAGGCCTAAATAAACACAGTCATGCCCTAACTAGGTGACGGAAAATTTTTTGTCAAGGCCACTCAACGACCCTGAATGGCGAGATTTTTGTTCGCATTGAAAGGCATGCATCAGAGAGACACCTTCAGACTTGGTGTCATCTGGTTCAGACATCCGTCTGCCAACTGAAGCGAGCTAAATTTGTTTACAGCAAGGACATTTCTCAGCCTCCCTCTCAGAAATTGCCCTCTTCGAGGAGATCAAGGTGCGTTGTCAAATGGAGTGGCTGCATAGGTACCACCACCACCACCACCACCACCACCACCACCACCACCACCACCGTCTAGGAGAACACCAACACCAACACTATCACCACACTAAGGCTTTTGCCTTCGTCTGGGAGACCTGCAGGCGTCTTATACAGGCATCACATCTACCTCCCCTAACGCGTCGGTTCAGTAATTGGCCCTGATATTTAGATGGTCATTTTCTGTCTGACATTTGGATTCGGCCCCTGTCATCAATCCAGACGCTTGCCAAATTATCGCAGTGGGTGGGCCGACACAGACTGCATTCCTGTCCTGCCGATGCTTCAGATGCCTGAAAGGAAATCCGTCCCATTGTTCGCACGTGCGCTCAGGTATCCCGACGACTTCAGATCACGCAGAACCCATCCTCTGAGATGGAAACGTGGTACAAAGAGAGGAACAGGGATGCGTGCATCTAATATTCTCGTTACTTATGGAGAATTAACCCCACCATCCAGCAAACAATTCTCTCAACTGCATGTCCGGTAGTTCGACGCAGATTGCATCTAACTGAATTATTGTGCCGAAGCATTATGTCCACAGTTCTGGTTAATGAGTGCAGTCAGTAGCTTTAACCTTTAATGCATAGAAAGAAAAGTGAGAGGTAGATCTTCTTTGCGAAGACAATCAATTACGTGAATGGAAATTGTTAAAGGTGGATGCAGAGTGGACATTCGAAAGTCCAAAACCGTTGCTAAATCACCTGCAAGTCCGCTGATCTACAGGCTCCTTCCGGGTATATGAGTGCGAGCATTCATCCCAGGCGTCTGCAATCGGCTTCAACGGTATATGCTGGGAGACCTTGGAGCCTTCGGTTGCCATGCCTTCAAAATAAATTTCCAAACATAGCTGATAAAGGCATTGCAATGTTAACTGAGCGACAGAATGCCCGACAAAGAGGTAATCAGTATATGTGCCGGCCGCTATCGAAGCCGAGAAGGGCAACCCACGGCCTCCATGGAGGGCACCACCACCCGTCAGCTCGCGTGCGCCCCCACATGCCTTCGGACTGTCGAAATACGTCGCGGTAAACCAGGTGTCAATGGGATTGGATGCTTTGACCCCGGGGAACTCTTTAGGGCAAAGGTGCCCTCAGGCACGCTTGTGGAGCAAGACGATTAAGCGAACCGAGTAGGTGGCGGAACCGGTTGAGTCGGCGCGTAGATGAACGTTATTTTCAGCAAAGAGAGCCGGTGGAGAAACTGCAAGCTTGAAGAAGGAGACACGATTGCTGGGACAAGAGCTTTAATAGCCTGACGTTTCGGATTCCTGCTCGGACCCATCATGAGAGACAAAAGCAGCTACGAGTGGTTCATGCACAGGGGATGCAGTATTTATAGGATGCAGTCACCATGCTACCGCATACCTATGAGTAATCACGGCTCCCCACTTTCATCAGGGATCGTTGCATGTGGTGTGATGACTGTTTGATGGCCGACATTTGCGTCCTTGATTGCTGCAATCTCATCACGTGTGTTGGACGTTGGCGTGATGATTGCTCGACCATCTGACGCACCGACCCTGGTGTTGGGAGGAGTGTCCTCCTATGCGCTCCCCGCTCCCAGTGATCGTGTCTCCTTCCTCACGACTGCTTTCTTGTTTTCGTCTCTTCGCTTCTTTTGGCAATCTAAGGAATGTTGCTACTATCGTATGAATCCTCTATTTTTAAGTACTTTTTATAACATCACTCCTGTCTGTGTTGGTGTTCACTCTTCTACCTGTGAAAGTACATTAGCTCCTTTTTTCGACCTGCTTCTAGGAAAAATTTTTTGTGTCTTGTGAGCATCTTATGCAGCGGTTTTAACCGTACGTACTTACCTCCCCTTACATTTTTAGGCTTTCACACCCTTGATTTCTTCAATACTCGTGACGACGCCCCTCTTTACCAGATTTTCACTCACCATCCAGAGATTCCATCTTAAAAATAGACCTCAGTTGTCTGTTTCAAATCACTCTGTGTTATTGGGCCTTCCATAAACTACCTCAATTCTCAGCGCCCACCGATGAAGAAACCCGAGAGGAAATCACGTATTCAGGCGAATGTTCACGGTCCAGATTTCTGTGTAAGTGGAAGGTAAGAAGGCTGTTCGATCGCAGGAACCATTTCTTTATTTGTCTGAGTCTTCGAACTTGTGCAGGAATCCTTCCTCGGAGATAACAGGAGACGCCCATCCATCGCGTTACGGGATGAGCGCTTTCTGTACGTCGACCGGTGAGCACCTTTCAATGACTTCTGTCATCCCTCAAACGATATTTTTATGCTTTCAGCGGTTGTCTCCTGTTCTGCGTCTGTGGTTCCACAGTTCAGAAGCATCCTCGAATGGTCTGCGGGTCAACAGCTGACCACGTCCTCATCGGACCCTCTCAATTCCTTCCTTATCTTGCTTCTGACCTGACCGATTATTCTTGTGTTGTAAATTTAAAAAGAAAACCCGTTTTATAATTTTGGGCAGCCACTTATGATGATCGGTCATCCGGACGAACAGTCAGCTTATGCTTGTATATGCGCGATTCGAACTTGCCTTCAGTCTAACCCGTGTATTCGCAAGTAACATTTAAGCCCGAGATACGATAAAAGTTACCTGACTGCTCACTGAGATTTAATCGATTCGTGTTTTTTATGATTCCGCTGAGCATTTTAGCCTCGGGTTAGTGCAAAATTTGGACACTTAATCATACAGCAAGGCATCCAGTCGATTCTGACACGTCTTTGATATACGGAAGGATATGCCACAACATAGGCGATGCTTCTGGTTGGGTACTTCCGGATGCGAACACGTAGGCATCGGTCTGAGAACCCCATTCTGCATCAACTGGTCGCGGAGATATCGCAACCGGCGTAATTTCTCTTTCTGCTTGCTGTTGCGAGTCTGGGTCAGTTTGAGGAGTTTTCATTTACACCTGCGAAAGGGGTCACAAGTTTAACTTTTTTATTCACGAGTTTAATCACCCAGGCCAGAAGCAAGACAAGCCGTGAACCGATTGAGGCCTGGACCTCCGTTGAGGACTCAGTCAACTGCTGAACCTTTCGAGTTGCTTCTTCACTGTAATCAAATATACAGGAGAGGAGACACCCGGTAAATGCGAAATTTTAATTGAGGGATAACTGGAGTCACTGGAAGTAAAGGTGAAATCTCCACTTAATGGACCAAACTGGCATCAGTGTGCGTAAGTTCGCCTCGCTGGCCAGTGAACCGCTACAGAAGCCTCTAAATGCCAGCAGAGGAAAGGGAAAAAGTTGTTGGAAAAGGAGGAAGCATATAACTTACAAACATCAGTCTGACAATCCTCCTTTTTACTGGAACGCCAGTCTCCCTAAGACTATCACGCAAACCATGTCGCTGCATGAAAGCAATTTTTCTCACTCTTTGTAGAATGAGATCTCTCACTATACCAGAGACTGGCGAGTCCTTTGGAGGTTTCGTGATCAGGTCATAGTTTCTCGCACAAATATGTCATAGTTTTTTTTCAGCAAATTTGGAACAGCCTCATGAGGTGCTGACCTTTGATCGGGCGCTGAATTTTGTCGTATGACTCCTCAAGTTTCTTCTGAAAGACTTCTTGCCTTCACCCAGTAGGAACCGCTCTTCTAGCGCTCCAGCGCTGATGGCATGTTTGTTAGCGTCAGAAAAAACACGCTGCAGCATTTCCATGATCTGCTCAACTCAATCCTCCCAGATATACGATTTACTAAGGATAAAGAAGAAGTCCAAACTCTACCCTTCCTGGATGTGGTCGTCAAACGACAGAATAGAGACAATGATCTACAGCAAGGCGAAGAACATCATGCAGCTTCTCGGTTTTTTTACGGGAGCCACCATGGGACTAACAAACGAAGCTGTGAGCGAAAACTCCTCAAACGGATCCAGACTCGCTACAGCAAACAGGAAGAAAAATCACGCCAGTCACGACACCTCCGCGGTCAGCTTATGCAGAATGGGGTGCCCAGACCGATGCCTACGTGTTCGCACTCGGAGAACCCAACCAGAAACATCATCTATGTTGTGGCATGTTCTTCCGTACATCAAAGACGTGTCAAAATCGACTGGGTGCATTGCTGTGTGGCTGGGTTTCGAAATTTTACACTGACCCGAGGTCAGCATGCGCAGCAGGATCATAAAAAAACACGGATCTATTAAATCTCAGTGAGCAGTCGGACAGAATGTATCGTATCTCGGGCACAAACCTTACTTGCAAATACACAAGTCAGAATGAAGGCGAGTTCGAATCGCGCCTGTACACCTTCGCCCAAAAGAGTTCCCCGGGGTGAAACCGTTCAATCCATTTGACCCCCGGATTACCACGACGTATTTCGACCAGCTGAAGGAGTCTTTAGATGCATTTGCCCTCGCGAGCTAACAGTTGGTAGTAAATTCCATGAACGCCGTAGGTAGCTGTTCTCTGCCTTAACAGCGGTCTGCATATACATTGATTACGTCCTCCTCGGGCATTCTACCGCTTACTTAACATTGCAATGCTTCTATCGTCTATGTTTGGAAAATATTGATAAATGTTACGTAACAGAAAGACTTGGGCGTCCTAATGACATCCTCGCTGAAACCATCATCACAGTGTCAAAGGGCAGCCAAAAGTGCG